TAACAAACCCGAGGAAGTTCAAACATCAAAGGGAAGACGTTGAAAGCAGAATATGAAGAGGCAAAGATAGGTGTGTAAATCAACCAGATCGGATCGAAAATAGCATGTTCAGAAAAAATAAATTGGAAATCGGAAATGAAAATTTTCTTCCAATTCCATTCCAATTTTTTTCAGAACTCCAAAATTATTTACAAATTCGAAAATTCGGAATTCGGAACAAAAATCAAAAAATTTGGAATTCATAAGTATCGGAAAATAAAACAGAAGAGAGAAACAGAGAGGAGAGACGAAGAAGAAGACATACAGGAACAAAACTTTTGTTCGTTGCTTCTTAAATAAGCTTCATAAAGAGGGGCAAAAGTTTAAATATAGATCAATATAATAATATATATAATATTATATCAATTGAGGATTTGAGATTTGTTTTCACGCCAAAGTCAAGAGTACAGCTTTCTTTTGCCTCTAAAAATAAAAGGTGCGCTTAACTTTCACCCCAAATCGCCGCCTCAAGCGAACGCATCAAATGGATAAGGCGTACGAGTTAAAATACACTTGTAAAACGTACACCTTACTACAGTTTTGTATTGCCTCGCCTCAACTCACGCCTCAAGGAGCGCCTTAAAAACGCTTTTTTAAACCTTGATTCCCCCAATAATTTTTGGACTAAAAAGTGTATTTCGGTGATATTTTGCTGAATATTCCAGCGCAAGCCCATTGACTATTTCAGCTCTAATTCGTACCAGTCTAAAACCGAATAACAAAATACCACCGAATTATCGCCAAATAAACTGCCCAGAGCCATACATGTGTTATTACGGTCTCCAAACATGGGCTTTTACTAGCCTTCGCAATTCGCATCCATGCCACCAACAACTTATACTACCTCGCCCCTGTCCTTTCCAAACTTTATCACGAAGCTCTCGTAAAGCTAGTCAATTTGACATATGGCACTTTTAAAATGGAAGCATGGCTAAGAAGTCGTGACCATTAGAAGATCTGACATTGGGCACTGGGTGCTGGTGGTGGCTGTTGCTTCCTACACTGGCCACTGCGCTGGTTGATCCTCAACCACTACTTAAGTTACTTTGCTGCATCAAGCCACGAACACCCAAATTCCAACAGATTTGTGCCATTGATTTGACTCGACGAAATCTAATTTACAGATAAATATTAAAAAGAAAAAAATATATGGTATCACTAATGTGAGGTTATTAATTTTGTTTTCGGCTTTTCTATGCGAAATGGTTGGATACCTTTCTGTTTTCTTTCTAATTTCATAAACTTATTGGAGGGAATATTAGCATACAACATAAAGATTGTAAGAGATTAAATTTTCATACATTTCAATGCTTACCTTAGTCAAACAAGGGATAAGAAAACTAACACCCTAACGAAGGCCTAAGACCAGAAAAATGACGCCATTTTGGATGACCATCTTTTCTGACCTTATCATGACATCTCTCACAATAAGTTGGTTCAATTAAAGAGTAAAAATTGCTCAGAGAAAAGAGTGTATAAGATATGGTTCTAATATTCCAACTGAATTTAATCATGTTGTTAAGAGTTAAGTATGGACTCTGTAATGGGCTAGTTAGGGCTTTATCAAAGTTGTTAACTTGTGATATATGGTGCACGCGGCCAGTGTCCAACTGGTCAGTGTGTATCCCATCCTCATAGGAAGCTGTGGGTGCAATCCCCCACTATCAATATGGCCTCTTGAGGGTTGTAGTTGTGTAGACTTCTAAAAGGTGAAGGCCAGTGCCCTCTTGGAGTCTTGGGCCAGTTGGACTACCAGACATTGAGAGAGAGAGAG